TTCAGCACTATCAGCTGATCATAATGTTATGGCCCATGCTTTGCGCACTGGGATACAGTCATGCTGGAAGAGAAAAGGGTCTTCCCCAAACTGTTTTTTTCAACACTGAAGCATAGATCAGTCCAAACCAGACCAGACCAATCCTAAAAATAAACAACTCTATAACGTAAAATTCGGTGGAGGACGGGTCTGGCATTTGCCAAACCAAGACTCATCCGTCATTCTGCCTGGAACTCCACAGAACATATTTCCACTGCTCCAGAATCCAGTGGACTTTACACCACTCCAGCAGACGCTTGGCATTGTGCTCGCATGCTGCTCTCCAGACGTGAAAACTCATTCCACAAAGCTCCCGTCAGACAGTTTCTATGCTATCCCAGAGGAGGTTTGGAACTCTGCAGTTATTCAGTCAGCAGAGCATTGGTAAGTTTTAAGCCCTGTGTGCCTCAGCACTTTGTAACTTCACTTGGTCTGACACTTAGTAGCTGAATTGCCATGGGTCCTAAATGCTTCCACTTTGCAATTTGCATACCACTTACAGTTTATCGTTGAATATTAGAAAGGAAGATATTTCAGACAGACTTGTTGCAACAATGGTATCCTAGTACCGTACCGTGCTCAAATTAATCGAGCTCTTTAGAACGACACATTCTTTCACAAAGGTTTGTGAAGGCAGAAGTCTGAATGCTCGATTTTATACATCTGTAGCGATGGGACTGAAAACACCTGGAACCAGAGACCAAGAAGTGTGACCTTTGTCCATATAGTGTATCTAGTGATGCATTTGAGAAGTAAAATATGAAACATGTGAGTCCTTAAAAGACCTTTTATTTTGAGTGGAATTTGTGTAATAAAGCTGTACAAAACTAAAATGACATTTTTAAAAGTTAATGTACTCTGTTAGTTAAAAAGTATAACAAATTTCTCAAAGATATATTTTATTTAATTGGATTATTTAAATGCAGCTGGATTAATGTTGACAATTGCCTATTCAGATCCATCTATTAAATGTCTAGAGTCGGGTGACTTCAAAGTGTACCCCCAGAGATGTGTTTTGGAGTGAAAGATTAATGCTTTCACACATAAAACAGTTTCAATGGCCAAACACCAGGAGTTTGAACTTTTTGCCAAACCTCTGATGCTAGCCCCCCTGCATCTGTTTTTGTTTCACCTGGCGGTGTGCGACAGTGGGTCACCACACTGTATGCGGATGGCACTGAGCTCCTGCAGCGGGCCCTGGTGGGTTGAATGGGTGGTGTGCAGGCTGGTGTTAGGCAGAGGAACATTTCTCTTTCTCTTTCGACTACAACAGGTACGTGTGGAGCTGTCATGGCTGGATACAGAGGGACTGCGTGAGGGATAGGTCTGCAGAGCCGTTTCCAAACAGTTCTGCTCGTATATCAGCTCGTCCACAAACTCGTGAGCCTGGAGAGAAAAAGATGAAAGAAAAAAAACATGGGGATAGCAAAACAGGAGAGAGGAAAAACAGCAGTCTGTAAATAGGCTACACAACAGCGTTATAGGACTTGTTGCCCAGTTGTACTTCACTTATAATTTTACAAAAGGAACCACACCAAAACAAATATAATTTAAAGAAATTATAAAAATAACCTTCATCTTATCATACAAAAATCATGCACCTGGCTGATTTCCTTTATTGGCTGCCTGGATAACACTGTCAGTGTTTAATACAGATCTTAGCCAACATCTTTTGCAACAGTAGCTTTAAAGACTTTACAGTGGATGCAGATTTGAGACAAACCTTTACATGATGATCTAAATCCTGTCCTGTCCTCAAACTGTAGTACGAACCAGTGTCTTCTGTGTCTTGTTGCACAGGTCTGCACAGGTTACCATAGCTAAACTTCAACACAAGTATACCACAGACCAGGTTTAAGTGAACTTAGGGGTAGTTACGTTTAACAGATACTGTGAATATTCCTTTAATATCATAATTTAAGTTCAAGAGTAGTTTCATCCTCATACAGAGACTAAAGGAATACATAAATGTCCAACATTATGATGTACAACTGTTAGCTTGAAGCCAGAAAGGTCTAATTCAAGCTCGACTGACTATCACAAATATAAACTGACGTATTCTGTCTAATAGGGATAATAATTAAATGTGATTCAGTACTGAAAGGAAACTCATTTAAATGTTGAATCTTTACTTCATTGTCATGCCTGAAAATCTGAACAACTGTGTACAAAAACTCAGTTTGAATAAATAGAAAACAATACAGAAATGTGAAAAACAAATCACAGTAATACATTACAAGCGACAACACAGAGAAAATAATAAAAGAGAATATTCCTCTGTCCAAATACACACTGGTGTGCCGTCAATGACGCCTCATCTGTGTGAACTGCATGACAAAACTGTGGTGGGCAGTTCAGAAACCAGGCTCACTGCAGTGTAGCTGATTTGGCATCGTAATATGCCAAATGTAGTTTATGGTGCAGCTGAGTTGTAAAACCCTGCAAGTTCCAGTTTTTACAGACCCACTCTAAACCCCACACCCACAAAGTCCCATAACAACTGTCAACCTGGCGTGCAAACATTATGACATTTTTTTATTTATTTATTTTACCAAGAATGTGTTTTTTTGCTTCCAGCTGAACTCAAACCACAGATTTGAGAGCAAGGAACACCTTACTGTGACAATGACAGACATTTTTGGCAATGCCCTAAACACCTTTTTTCATCTGTTTTGGGGGAAGTTGGCAGCTACATGCAAAGTCAGTGTGAAGAGCAAGCTTCTCATAAAGTAACATTTGGAAAATCTAAAAAAGTTTAATTGCTAGCTTCATTAATGTTAGCCAAGTTTTCAGCCATAGCTACACAGTGGACATGTATATTTATAACAGAGTGCACTTACTGTTGTTTTCTCCAGACAGTGCAGTAGGTGGTGGTGTTGGCTCTCTAACAGAGAGATGGACTTCTGGGTTGGCTTCTGCTCATCTTCTTCTGTACCCTGATTGCACACACACACACACACACACACACACACATTGATATTTACTCAATACTTAATACTTTGAAAATGAACTTTTAGTAACGAAGTAGTAATAAAAAGCCCGAGGTTCTGCTTCATGGCATTCAGTCTCATCTGAACTCTTCTTCTTCATGTTTGATGAGTTTCTCCTCATTTCAGTTATGAACAGGTAAACAGCAGCTCCTGCCAATTACTTTCAAATAATTTACTTGTTACATAGTGAACCACATTCCTGTTTGGAGTGAATCGATCCCTTATCTTTAGGTCTGCTTAGCAAGTGGTTTGTCCACTTTCTCCAATTTGTAATTTATTTCCTATTTTGAAGGGTTTAAAAAAAAAATAAAAAAAAATCCACAAACAGCCTACTGTTTTTCTTTGATTTGTTTCCTTGTTTAAACAAGCAGCAAAATAACTTCCAATTTCAGTTTATTGAGCAAACAACATACAAATTATTAAACCGTGCTACTGCGCATCCTCTAACTTAATTGTCTAAGTAGGTACTGCTGAGTGTTATTTGATGCTGGAGGCAGCTAAACAGTTATTGATGTCAGAAGCTTCAGAAAGAAGAGAGATCGCAGAGTTTGAGGAAGGGAAAAAACCCCCCACAGAAGCAGAAACTTATGGAACCCTTTGTTGGTATTTTTCCCAACAGACTTAGTTTGAAATTCAGCCTTTAATGTTCCTTTGTCTCAAAGTAACTGCAATTGCCAAATAACATGAAAACTGAAAATGGTTAATTCTCTCCCCACAGTGTTCATTGTTACTCAGAGGATTGGGGCAGGAGGCGAACCAGCCCAAGGACTCTCATTTGGATTCCAGGAACATGAACAACACCGTCACATGGGCACGTTTTCCGATTGCTGGATTTGTGCATTTACCCTCTGGCAGAGGACCTATACACACATAATACAGATACAGAGCGAGATTCAATGGTCTTTCATGTAAATAAAGAAGCTGACTTTGTGTAGTCAGTAAAAGGAAGCTGATCACGATAACCGTGCTGCTAATGAATGATTGGACAATAACTAAATGTGTTTGTTTCCCAATGTATTTGTAATAAAAAACCTCCCCTAAAGCAGTGGTTCCCAAACTTTTTTTGTTAGGCCCCCCTTTCTTTTACAGGAAAAATCCCCCCCCCCCCAACACATCCTCTAACCACACACAGCCATATTTTGTTTTCAAACTCCATTGCATTTAGTACATTTAGTAAACAACAAATACAAGTAAACTGCA